GATTTTTTGTTTTTAACTGAAGAATTGTCCGTTTTCCCTGTTGTGTTAATTTCTGGGGTCCGGCACAGTGAATCAGTTACATGTATATACCTGTATATGTTCCTTTTCATAATCTTTTTCATTATGGGCTGTTACGAGGAACTGAATGTGGGTCCCCAAGCTCCCCCACAGCAGGACCTTGCTGTCTATCTATTTTGGATCTCTCCATAGCGTTTCTGTTCTTTTCTTGGGTTCTCACCTCAGTCTCCTAATAAGCAAGAAGAAAAAGCAATTTGAGTGTTTTTAAAAACAGAAGAGTAAGACTCAGTGGAGGAAACCAAGTGCAGCATGTTGCGTCTTGGGTGTCTTCAGAGAGAGTTCAGTAAACATCCTCCCCCCACCCCGCCAGATGCCTTGCAGCCAAGTTTGGCATTTCTAGGAAAAAAAGAACACAGACGTGGCCCCGTTTGGAACAGCTCTAAGTGGACAGCCTCTGCTGGTAAATTTATTTTTGGCCCTCGATGGAGAACCAAACCCTAATGACTAATATGGCTTTTTTTTTCCTCGCCCCAAATGGCTCCCGCCTTGTGATCTCAGCACAGGGACTCTTGTGAATCAGAGCAACCGTTTCCTGGCATCCCATTTGTAGACCCTGGGATTCTTGGGGTTCGGTTTTGTCGAGAAAACCCTTCTCGGGTACAGATGGGAGAGCATGTCGGTCACGGGCGGCACCTTTGCAGAAAGCATCTCTCGCCCTGCAGCCGGAGCCGGGGAGGGCAGGGGTGGCCCTGAGCGCCAACTTCACACAGGCCCGAGTCAGAGACACTGGCGCTGTCTCCACGCACCCCTAGTTTACTCCAGTCCCCTCTGTATCTTATCATCCGCTTCCAGTCCAAGTAGATGCAACGTCATGTGTCTCCGTCTGTGAAGGCAGCACACAGTGGCTTTGGAAGCCTGCTGTCCCCCAGCGGGGGTGGCCCTCCCTGCCCAGGCGCTCAGCTGCAGGGACAGCAAGGGACAGGGGCTGTGGGGGGGGACACGGGAGAGCCCTCCTGGCCCTGTCCTGTCTCAGTGGTTGAACATGCAGCCTCTTGGATCTGGACGCCTTGCAGTGGCCTTGGCAGTCTCTGGCTGTCCCAGGACTGTTTCCAGATGTGTCCCTTGTGGTGCCCACAGAGGAGAAGGAGGAGACTCTGGACCACCTGCATGTCAGGTTCCCCATGCTGTTCCACGTGCAGCTCAGG